AAGTTACACAATAAACTGGTATTGATTAGTTGTGTCTTGTTCTTTCCTTCCTCTCTAACTGCTACGTAAATAATAATTTCCCCCATAATTCATCTGAAAAATCAACATTAAAAAGCATGACGTTTTGTCTTCTCATCAGGGATAAAGAACATGTGGCATTGGTAACCTTTTACTCTCTGCTCAACAAGTGTTACAGCTGCATTGGATTCGGCTCTATTAAGGCAGGTATTGATGGTTACAGTTATCATCTCATGTATTTGATTGTTTGTTGAATTAAGAATACGAAATGAGGATCTACTCCAAAAAGGACCAGAGCACCAAACTTACAAATAATATTTTGTTTAGCTCTAGTGATATTTTCAGTTTAAACCCTGAAATAAGCTGTACGCTAACTTTGGTTAGTTCGATAAAGTGTAGTTGTTAGATGCCTATTCCACATCCAGACGATAAAGTGTAGTTGTTAGATGCCTATTCCACATCCAGACGATAAAGTGTAGATCAAAATGAGCATTTATTTTGTTTATTTGTGTCCAATGGTCACTCTTCTTTTAGCTCAGATTTGGTCTCCAACTCCAGGAAGGTAATATTTGTATTTTTAGCTGCTAAATGCTCCACTATGTTTACCAGCTAGTTGCAAACTTTTTCCATTTGTAGAAAATATTTTCTTTCCAGAAGTCTTAGTTATTATAACAATGATGTCCAGCCACAGACGTCACTAACAGCAGTTTTTACAGTTCATAAAATGCCCGTGAAATGCCATTCAAATGTGATTTTGCACACCATTAAATTATATTGTATTGGATATCCCCGGAAGTCTTGGCAGAAAACTAAAACTGTCCATGGCTAGATTACATTAACGGTAAAGACACAATCACATGTCATTTCTGCAATTTTGGTGAACTGACACTTTAACAGAGTGAGAGTTTGAGATTGTTTTTTTCTTTTTAACATTCATGTAATGAAACGTTAAAAGTTACATGTTACGATTTGACATAGCAATGCTAAGTGCCTGCTAAGAGCATTTTTCACGTGGGCTTGAGTGAGCGGAGAAAGAAGCAGAAATCTGGTGAAGCCATTTATGCAGCCGACGTGCTGACAGTCAGGCGGCGTGTTTACACTCCAACAAAGTGCCCTCACACACTGTGCACCAGCCCAGCCGCTGAGGCCTGTCTGATGTGTCAGAAGCTCGCAAACCTTCTCTCCCTTCGCTCTACGCTCATTCCTGGGGAACATGTGCGCTGGAATTCTCCCCCAATTAAGACAGGGATTAGCCAGGTCCGCTGTGGGAACCGACCGACTGTGGGAAACAGAGGCTCTGTCCCTCTCTCTTCCCTCACCGACACTCAGCCTCATTCTCACTCGCTCTTGTTCATCAAGCTGCCTCCCTCCCCTGTATTTCTCCCCCTGTTACTGTAACTCTTCCTCCTCCCATTTCTCACCCTATTTTCTGTAATTCCTCAACATTTTATTCCTTCCAATTTGTCTTTCTGTTCAAGCCACACTTTCAGAAATCCATTTCCTATTGTTTGCCCTCTCATATTTCTAATTATGCACTGACCCCTTTATTTTTTTCATTCTTTTTTCACACTCTTTCTCAGCCACCCAGAATGTCCATAGCTTTCAGTCCTGATTCTTCAAGGTTTTCTGAAGTGCACAGTTCTTCTGTGCTCCCCTCTCCTGCCCCTTCCCTCCTCCCTCTTAATGCCTCTCTAGCCTCCATACTGAAAGCTTGTCTGGGGGGGGAAGCTGGGGACTCTCGCATGAATAGTCTGAGACTGTCAGACTGAAAAGAGGGGGTCGAAAAGACAGCTCATCAGAAAAGAAAAGACAGGTGTCTCAGCAAACAGACAGTTACAGTATGTAGGCATTTTTTGCATTACTCAATTTAAATTCAACATGAATAAAAACACTCATTCCATCACTTTTAATGTGCAAAAAGCTTAAAATCGATCAAAATTCATTCTAGTTTCACGGGGACAATTCAAGAAACCATTGAACTTGAATGAGCAATAACTAAACAACCATGGGAACATCCTGGTTGCGGTTCATCCCCAATTTTCCATTGTCACATTTCTTTCTCATGATCTTGCAATACTCTCACTATCACACCGGATTCCTCTCCCACTGCGTCTACATTCCTCCTATTTATTCTCACCTTTCCTTTCCTCACTTGCTCCCACTCTGCCTCTACTTTCCTTACGTTCCCATAAATCCTTTCCCAGTGCACTCCTCCACACAAGGCTTGTCCGTTCCAATTACCGCAGGGCCGTCCAGCCCCCCGGCTCACACACAGCTCGCTCTCATTAAGCCTGTATCAATTAGGCATTAACCTCCTAAAACAAAGGGCCTCTTGACGACCAGGCCCATCGCAGGCCATGTGAGGAACTTCCTCTGCATCGCTCCACCCTGCTTCCCATCCTCAGAACCACACATTCATCCAACCTCTTTCCCACTGTGCTGCTCACAAAACTAAATCTGGGCCCAAAGCATCGACTACAACAGAGTAGAGAATAAGCAGTAAACGCTTAGTTGTAGAGTAAATGTTGAATAGGTCAGGGTCTTCAAACAAACCAGCTAATGGTATGTGTAGTTTTGTTCGTAGCATTTCATGATTTAACCTTCCTTTAAGTGTTTTGCTGCATTTTCCTTTTCATAAACTTTCACCGCACAGACGAGCTCAACTATATATTATGAAGGTGATAGGTTTTATTTCCCAAAAGACTAAAGTTAGTGTGAATTTAAATATATCTAGTTATTTTATTTCACATGACAACAAGGGTCATTTTTATAGACTGAAATAACTATTAGACTATAACGATTTATGCAGAATATAATTTTGTTTGCTAATTTCAGACAATGTGTAACTGTTGAGAAACAATCTCAGTGGTAAAGATGGTAGTCGAGTGCAGGACATGATTTACAACAATGGCTTAACCTGATTTAATATGGCATTGTAATGCACCAGTCCTGAAATAAATGATATTTAGTGAAGCTTGAAATGCTCAGTTTTGATGAGTCGGAAAGATGTCAATTTTTCTCGAAATGTATGAGCAAGTAAAAAGGCATTACACAGAAGGAACAAAATGTCCAAGACAACAACATTTAATGACCGTTAATGAAATCATTTAGAGTGACATCTTATCACTCAATTACTACAGATTTGGGTGCATTTTGGGGGGTTTCTGTGAAAAATGTCATTATAATTGTCTACAATGTTGCTGAGGAAATGAGGATCTCCCTGTCATTAACTTTTCTTTTCATTAGATTTAAAACTAATCTCATCGCAAGTCTTTTTTTTTTTTTACAGAACTCTGAACATGCGTTTCATAAATTCGCAGCAGCACCGTCAACTCTTGCTATTTATGGGACTTTTTTTAACGATTTAAACAATATCTTGACTTTTTATATTCTAAACTTGGTGGCAAAATCATGATTTGAATTCAAAGTGCTTTTGTTCCACATTTATGATACCAAAAGAATCTTATGTAATCATTATCAAAATCTGTATTTACATCAGAAACACATGTGGTAAGTAAAACATTGTTCACAGCCAAAGAAGTGAACTTTTTCAAAAGTCTGGAAGAAAACTTGGCTCTTGGCCTCGGGACCAGCTGTGGTGCCGCAGACTTCAACATCTACTCATGTAACCATTTGTAAAACGTATCCACTACTTTTCTTGCTTTACCTTTACTCATAGTAAACTTTGTGCATGTTTGCAGAGGCCGCTGTAAGCGCATGGTGTCTCTGTCTTTGTTGGCGGAGCAGCAAAGAACAACCTGGTTTTGATTTTCCCACAGATCTGCCGCAGTGAGGAGTGGTCCCCAGCACCCAGCGCTTTGGCACAGTGACTATGTTGGCATCGGCCCAAGCTGAACACCCCCCACCCCTTTTCCCAGGGCCCTGAGAGTGTAATACATTACCACCGAACTCCCACTTCCCATTCCTCTCAAACTTTCACACCCCTGCTCCCTCCCTCCCACGGCTGGCATGCCCCCTGAAAAGGGGATTGGGGTGACATGCGTATGACTCTTTTCCATCTCCTCAACTTTTCCCAGCATCCCCCAGAGTATTTTAACTTAAAGTGTTTATGTCTTTCCATATACAACTCAACATAAATCTTACAGACAATTTATTATTTTTTAACCAAACCTTATTCCAAAGTACAGGGCTTTTAATATTTTAAAGTTATGCCAGCTATGCTAGGAAACCCAGCTACCGAACACACCGGAGAAAAATGCAGACCCTTTCACTGTTAAAAAGGGGTTTAAAGGGAATAGATGTCTATTCAAACCGACCCCGAGGTTATAAATATGAACCCTCATTCTGGAAAAAGCCTGGATTGTTTGCTCCATAGTTCTCAGAGCGGTATTCACAGGCGTGTATGTGTCTGGGTAACATGTAATGACATTATTCTCACCAGGGTGACCCCTCATTGTCACCGCGCTTTCTTCTCCCGAGCTCGTGAAATTGACATAAGCTTTACAAACATTCCACGCATTTTTTTCTCAAGGCCGGATTTCTTTTGGGGGCCTTTCATAGAGAAAAAAGCACCAGAATGAGCAGCACCCCCTAGTGATGGGGTCAACACACACCATACATGCTCTCTGGTCTAAACAAGGGGTTCTGTTAGATTGATTAATTAATTATATCCACTAAAAAAGGCTTAAAAAGTGTTTTAAATTTCAATAAAACCAGGTTATAATCACTGGTTTGTGTATGATTTCACTTCAAATGTGTGTTTATCATTTCCTGTAGGAGTTGTACTTTTAAAAAAAAAAGTAATTTGAAGTTATATCGCAGTATATGTTCAGATTTTGTGTCCAGTTTTCTTAATGGAGAGTTGTATTAGCACTTTGGGAACGCCCGGCCTCCTGTATGCCATGCAGTCTGCAGAGGTGTGAGATCTCCTCCCTATACCTGCAGGCAGTGGTAAAGCTCACTATAATGATCTTCCAGAAGTGAACATTTAAAAAAAATTACACATTGAGTGACTTCCTGACCTTCCCAGGTTATTGTCAATATAGTCCTGCAACTCCGACACCTGCGCCTCGGCAACTGAAACCCTGGTGATGAGAAGGGCTCGGTCTTTCTCTACACTCACCTATAGACAGAAAGATATACAAACCACTTTCAGTATGAAAAAGAGTTTATTCCTTCAAACCAAAGAGAGGTTATAAAATAGCTTTAGGGGTGAGAGAGCTTTGTTTACCAGTGTAGAGTCTGAGATCTCCCTCAGCTGCTTCCTTAAGTCCGACCAGGATTCCTCGCATGCCAATCTGATAAAGTTCAAACTTTTTTATGACATGATCCACAGCTGACCACATTTCACATTTGTCATTTGGTAAAATGCTAAATTGACACTCACTCATGACGGCTCAAATTCTGAACGGGCATTTTGAGGGCAACCACCTGCAACAGAAACAAGGTGAACGTATTGAATCAACAAGAACACGTCAATGTATGTAAAAAGATGACGTTATGCAAAATAAGATTCGGAAAATGCCTGAATCTGAGCTGCGATTACTTGCTACTAAAAAGTGAAAACTGTTGTTTGAAAGTCATCTAATGACATTATAATCACTTTTTTCCCCTAAATGTCAAACAGTTTTCTTTAAAACACATCTAAAATAAACACTGACTGCAGTAGATGCTCAGACAGTCACTGTGACAACCACCCAGTTAGGATTTAATTACCCATCAATCAGTGCCCTGACATGAACTGCACTCCTCCTCTGCAGCATTGAACTTTTTTGTTGCCGTAGGATACACACTTTTTTGTGCAGTTCATCGCTCAAAAACAAACAATGTGCTTTATATGGAAAGTTTACACACAAAGAAGAATCCCCCAGACCAAATAAAAGCATTCACCAGACATAACAAAACCAGATCAAGCCACTTCAAAGCGGCCATGTTTCTTTAGAGCTACCTGCAGCTGAGCCTCGTCCTGACGGCGCTGCTGGAGCTCCCTCTCTGTTTCCTCTCTGAGCTCAGAGGGCTCCAGGCTGAAGGGGGCTTCTGGAGGTCCAGGGTCAAGACTGCTCTCTGGCTGGGCCAAGATCTGCTCCCTCTGAACCCTGAAGATCACAATGTTTCAAAGTATCCAGTTACTCATCATGGATTCACTTGGAATGTGCTATTAATGGCAGTGTTGGTACTCGTTCTGGTTTATCAAAGCTAAATCAGTGGAGTTGCAGTTATGGATTTTGAAATTAATTTTGAAATTGTGTTTACTTTGAATGCAACAGCACTACTTTAAATCAAATTTGGCAAAATGAGACTTGAGACGTCTAATGATTAGGTTGAGCAATTCAAATATAAAAAGGCATTTTAATTTTTTAAGTATTGCTGAAAATGTTTATCTCAGCCTGGGGTCAGACATCCTAAGATTAGATGTTGATGTAGAGGGTATACAGATGACTATATAAATACATTTAAGTACAATTCTGCTACAAACAAAGTTTCCTTTAATTTTAGATCTTTAATCTGTAGGTTTTTGTTTACGGAAAATCACAACTTGTATATATGCAACTTTTTAAAAACGGGTCACAAGTAGACATGACTTTGCAAAAAAAAGGTTGGGGAAAGTTAAACGCAGGACATAAAATACGGTTTTCCGTGTCCAATCGACAGTGAAGCACACCTGTACGCAATAAGGAGAGCATGATGGGTCTTGGTGATCTTCTGAAGTCTCTTCTTATAGGAGCGAGCAGCGGAGGCCAGCTGTTCCTCCCTCGCTCTGTAGGAGGAACGCACATCCTGAAGCATGCTGTCAACATGTGCCCTCAACTTAGAAGCCTCTGGTGGGCTTTTACCCTCTCCTAGTCCATCAATGTACTCCTAAATTAAAAAGACATGTAAATGGATGTTATGTTAACACCTTAAAGTCCAGTAATACTTTGCAAAGAGGCTTTTGAGAGGACTGAAACTCACAGATAAGTCCTGTAAATACCACACGAGTCTTGAGCGATATTCCTCATTCAGCTCTTTGACTTGGAGCTGCAGCTTTGAGTTTTCCTCTTCCGCCTCCTTCACTTGGCTCTGAGAGCACATCACGGCCTTGGGGAGAAATAACAACAAGTAAACATTCATTCAGAGGGTGGTTAACGGGGATAATATCTATAATCATTTGAGAAATGTTCTGGAAATCAGTTCACGCTCACAGCACTCCGCTCAGACAGTTCCTGCTGGCGGTTACGGATCGCTCTCTTGTCCTCCTGATGTTCTTTACCCATTTCCACCCTGATGACCAAACACAGGCTCAACAACAAGAGAGTAGCGAACCAAAATTCACAGACAGCCACATCACAAGGGGAGACCACATCACACACACAGCAAACAAACCCACAGTGCAGGACACAAATCAAAGGATGAACAAACATCCTGAGATGGGTTTGGCTGTTTGGTGACTGGAAATGTAAAGATATTGATGTCTAATCCAAATTGAGCTTGTGCACTATCAAATGACATACACACACTTTCTCCTCCAGTTTCTTCTGTTGCTCCTCGTAGCTGTTTTTCATTTTCTCCAGCATTTCTTTGATCTCATCTTGGTTTCCAAGTAGCTTTGGGAGAGCACATAAATGAACAGACAAAGGAGGTTATTAGTTTACTGATGCCCGTAAAACATATGTGTTGGACACTGTTCCCAAGATTGAGGTATCTGTTTTGTATGAAAAGACTTGCAGTGTTTTGCATAGTTTTTTGCTCCTTGTCCAAAGCTCCCAGATTCTCTAACTGTCAAAACAGTGATGTTTACAATCGGAATTAACCAATGGCAAGTATAACATTTCAAATTAAAGATTACCTTTATCCCAAAATGTTGTTTTCTTTAAGTGAAAAGAAAATGTATTTTATAAACATGATCTTTTTCCCAATTTCTTGCACGACCAATGCTTTTTTCTCTGAGTAGAACATGTAACATTATGTGGAAAATATATATGTCCAATGGTAGAGTAAATCATATTGCACTGGTTGCATGTATTTTAGAGAAATGTGAGAAAGATGATCTTTTTAAAACACATTCAGTTTTATCACATACATGGACGAAAGATGCCCTGCTTATTTTAGAGTCCAGGGCAAACAACATTTTCTTTAGGAAAGCTGGTTGGGATTAACGACATCTGTGCTAAAATCTGAGATGGTTTAAACCACAACACCATTTTTATTTTGTACAACAAAACAAAACAACAAAAGCCCCTAAAGTTCCTGTTATTGTAGTGACATGAACTCAGGAAGTAATCTAGAAAATAAAAGTGCGTTTAACTAATTATATTTCCATCTGAAGAGCTGTGAGGAATAATGAACATACTGTCTCACCTTGACTCTGTTATGTGACATGCTGCTGATCAAGGCCCTCACCCGGTCCAGCTCACAATGCAGCCCCCGGGTGGAGGTCTCAACGCTCTGCTGCTGCTCCTCCAGCTGCAGACGGAGGGCGTCCTGGGCCTGGGCCAGAGCCAGCAGCTCAGCACTCAGCTTCTCACCCTGGTTCTGCTCTTTATCATGGGCATCAGCCAGAGCCAAGTAGCTGTTCTTCAGGGCAGTGTACTCCTCCGTCAGGTCTTGGCCACTCTTCTCTCCCACTTTTAGACAAGCCTCAGCAGACTGGAGTGCCCTGGATAAGTTGTCTCGCTCCATCTCAAGCTCCGTTATTGCACTGGCTTGATTCAATAGCTAAGAAGTGGAAATACAGTGCATCACAGTGTCAGTGATTCTATGTGTGGGTATGAAGAGTTAACCCAATTCAACCCTGATAAATCCCAACTTTTTAGGCAAATACATTCTTCTTCTAGCAAACCCTCACCTTGTTTTTCAGCTCAAACTTCTCTTCTTCAAACTGCTCCCTCATCTTGTTTGTCTGCATTTTCTCATCCACGAGCTCCTTAGATATCTGGAAGATGGGAACACAATTTATTCTGTTTCTATAATGAACATTGAACTTGCACTTACTGTATATGCTCATGAACTCTAACTTTAGTTTGTCCTCCTCACTTTGGATCAATCTGCAGGACAGATCTGTGTTGGAGCTGGCCAGGTAGCCCAGTCTGCACTCCAGGTAGCCCACTTTGGTGAAAAGGCGTTCATTTTCTCTCAGCTGCTGCTAAAGTAAAGTGAACAGAAACACTTGTTCTACAATGACATGAGAAAGGCTTATTTTCCACATAAGATTTCCATTGTTTTCAATATTTTGCAGCTTGGACAATTAGCATGTTAGCATAGCACCACCTGACTTTGTGGCCTGAGTCCATTTCACCCATTAAGCCAAATTAGCTTACTTCATTATCCAATTTCCTAGACAAAACGGGCCTGAAATAACTCAGTGTAGTGTTTGTACTTACGTTTTCTTCTGTTAAAGCTCGAAGTTGCTCATTTGAATTTAGCTGGTGGTCCTGTTTGTCCATCTGTATTCACTATATCAACGGCTAAAGCTAACTTACTCACTGTATCCACCAACACTAAGTTGCCATGGCCTCAACAACACACAACACTGTTTTTGTTTTATGTGTTGCCTATCTTTATATTTGAGGACACGAAACATCACCATAGGAACTGTAGAAATGACAGTGAAAAATAAATCCATTTCCAGTATATTTTACTTTCACCACTAACTTCAACAGTTGGATGAAAAGGCCTAACATAGGCCTACAGCTATCTCACGATACTTTTGCCGTATTTTATCACAAACAACTTAATGTAAAGGAACTTTCAGCAGCTGCATTATAGTGAGATAATTGATAAAGTAATTTATTGTTTCAGCCAGGAGAAGAACAAGCATCTCTCCTTTATAAAGCATTTGAGACACCGCTTCTGAAACACTGAACAACACAGAGGCTGAAAGTTGGTACATGTCATTGCAGCGCCATCTTGTGCCAACATATACACATAACAATATCACTGCGAGAAACTTTTTATTAAATACTAGGTGTCATTTGCGCTGGGGTCCCTGGAGACACTATTTGAAAGTGTAAATTATAAATGTTATTTTTCAAGACTTAAAAAAAGACGGAGATTATTGGCTTCCTCAATAATTTTCCCATGGCCACACATAATGGTTCCTACGAAAATAGTCTGTAGCCTGACACTGTAAGGGCCCATGAGACCCAGAGACTCAGTTTTATATAAGAATGTTTTAAAAAAAGTAATGTATATCATTCTTATTTTTATCACTTTCTTTTTTTAGTTTATAATTTTCTTAATTAATTTGTTAATTTTTTCTATTCTAGAATTTGTATTATTACATTTTGTATTATTATTTATTTGTATTTTATATGATTCTATTATTATTATAATAATTATTTATTTTTGTCCCATTTTTATGTCCCATATTATAGGAACTGAAAGATATTGTTAAAGACACGTGCACTTTCAGAGCAATTGAATTTAAATTTGTTATAAGTGTTGTCGTATACACAGAATACAAGGCTACCAAGTAAAACAACATGGTCTGAAACAGGCACTGACACATAAATATGTAAATGAAAATTGAAAGTGAAAATACATGTATAAATACATATGTGTTCTGTTTTATTCTCAACTTATTTATTTTTATTTATACATTTATTTCGACATTTATTCCTTTATTTATTTTTTCTCTTGTTAATTCCTTCCTGTATTTATTTTCACATTTATTTATTTATTCCTATATTTATTTCGACATTTATTTCTTCAGTTTTTTCACATTTATTTATTCCTGTATTTATGCATTTATTTATGTTGTACTTATGTCATGCTCTGTCCTCAATACCTGTGTGCTCATTGTGTGCATAAAGGTACAAATTCACTCAAAATCACATCACAGCAAAACCTATAGTTGGGCGTACGTTGTTTTAAAAACACATTGGTGGTTCAGAGGTCCTATGCATTGGTTTTTCATGCAGGTGCTCGAGGTTCAACACCCAGGGGAGGGACATTATATAAATACCTCTACAGCTATAAAACCTTCCAAGCCAAACTGGGCAAAGTCATTCTTAAAAAGTATTTTTATTAAAGTAACAGAACAATGCATTGTAATGTTTAACACATTGGGTTCACATGTGCTAAGTAGAATTTGTTACAAGTTATCAAAAATAGCTGGAAAATGCTTTGCAGAGATATGCCACTGAGAGAATACTTACAATTAATGAATTGATTTAACAAAAAAAACATTTTTACCAAATGCATGAAAACCACATGATCAGAACCAGGATTAAAACTCTAGAAAATCACACATTCAATGCAAAACTTAGATATAAAATCAAGCAATTAAGCTCAAAGGTATAACCTGTTTTTTTCAATTCTGCAGCTCTAAAATTAAGGATTCCAGGATTGAAAGCCGACTGGATTTTCACAGATAACTTCTTGTATGTGTTAAACATTTTGAATAGGGAACATTCTGTAGAATTTGGTATATCTTGTTCTATCTATTTTAACATGAGAATAAATAAATCAAAGCTTTACAATTATAGTCTCTAGTGTTGATGCCTTCAACTTGTCCTCAGTCACACTAGGGATGTTCAGTCACACTGTATTGCAGGTCAAAACATATTTTTTTGAGGTAGAAGACATTCTCTCAGGTCAGCTCTCGTAATGAGTGTGGAAGTGTTTTTAATAATCTCATGTGCTCATGGTGTTGCGTCTAAACTGCACAGTTGTTCCCGGTCTGAGACTCTTGCATATTCATGCGTTAGAACATGCAGATTCTTCATACACATGAATAAAGAATCCAAAAATATGAAAATAAATATATTATATTGTTTTACAAAATAGAAAATGATCAATGAGACCTATTTAAGATACATTTAAGTCCTCCTCCACTTCATCGTCCTCCTTTGCAATGGGTCTGTTATCGCCACGGTCCATGAGTACACCCATCTCTTTCTGCAGGGACTCCAGGCTGGCCGGGCTGACGTAGTACCTGACGTTCTGAGAGGGCAACAGCCTCTGGAGCTCCTCCAGCTTACGGTAGGCCTGGAGAAGAAACATGGAAAGAGGATAAAGAGCTGACTGTTTATTTTAGGAGTTTTTAGAACCATTCATCTAAAAAAAGTATCATTTCCTATGACAGGTTGCTGATATTTTCTTTAACCAACATGTCATTTCAACGAATAAAAAAGCTAGAAAAAAAAGAATTACCATTTGGAAGTTGCCTTGCTGACAGTGGTGCTCCACCAAGAAACCATATGCATCTCCAATCCTGACAGCAGGGTCCAACTCCGGCTCCTCCAGCAGCGCTTCACACAACTGCACCGCCTCACCAGGATCCTCCACATACAACCTGCAGACAAAGGACAAAACTCAGATTAAGATCAACACAAATAACTTGTATCCAAAAGAGAACAAGTATGAGTTGTGTTCTTACATTCGTGCGTGGACAAACTTCTTGATGAGTGTGATTCTGTGCTGCAGGTCAGCCAGTTTCACTTCCTGTTTTCCCGCTGAAGGGTCTTTTGCTTTTGAGACGCACTTGAAGGCCTCAGTCAGAGCATCTAGAGCCTTTTCATAGTTCTGGTAATCATCAATCTCAACCTTGATGATGATCAAAAAGAGGAAACTTGTTTAATTTCTATTTCAAATGAATATAATTTGCCTCAAAGCAACCTTATAATTGTATGTATTTTTAATCTGACTATATTTAAAGCTCTTATAATACATTGTTGTAAAAAAAAGAAAAACACCACTAACATACAAACAAACACTTTACTCTATTTTCCAGTCAATCATTTCAACAAAAATATAACTGCAGCAAATATATAATATACACTTTTTGAAAGCTTGTCATTTTCCTTGAGCATTCTCAATTAAAGTGGCAACTAAGAAAATCTATCACAGTATCTCATCTGTAGAATATTATAACCTACTGTTTGTCTAAGGCAACATTTTACCTGTAGAACATGCTTGTTTAAGAATGCTGACTTGAATTGAGCAGCTTCAAAATGCTTAATGTCAATTTGTTACCAGGAAAGTACCAATTAACATAACATGGACGGATGTTCTTATGAGGTTCAGCTCTACCTGAGCACAGGCTTCATAGAAGCCAGCCAGCAGGTCCGGTGCCCTGCCTTTAGTGTAGAAACCAATGATTGTCTTCAAGATCTCCGGATTTTTCCGCCAGTCCAGAGACTGGAGGTAGTTGGCGGCCATGATGAAAAGCTCCTTCTGACGACAAACATTGGCGAAGAATATAATTTTCTCTGTGTCGCCCGATTTGAGAAGTGCCCTCATCGCCTGTTTGGAGAAAATACAATCAAACATTATATAGGTACAAATATTTCATATGTTAAAGAGAAAGATTTGGATGTTTTGAATTCACTGCTTAATCTTGCAGTCAGACAACAACAAAATGTTTACCTCGCAGAACACAGAAGTTGATGCTGTACTGATATAGATTTTCTAACGTGGGCCTTACTTTGAGGTGGCTAAAACACAATTTGCTAACATCCACTTAAACAGCATTACGTTGCTTTGATCCTGAACCATAACTACTGTCTGCTTCACAAAACTGGGGACGTGTCGACTGCCATCTACTGTGATTAAAAGACTAACTATGGAAAAGTTCCTCACACAACCCCACATCATCTAAACCAGTGGTTCTCAACTGGTCAGGCCTCGGGACCCACTTTTTACTTGGTCAATACATCGCGACCCAACATTTTGAAGCACTCAAATCTATTCAACAAAAAAACGTGCTGTAATATATACGCTTTTCAGCATACAATATTAATAAAAGTGAAGTACAGTGCATATATCCCTTATATCCCTTCACAGAACTAAAGTCTGCTTTTAAAAAAGGTTTAATGAGATGATGGAATCAAAGCTGAACTATATAAAAAGGCACACATGCTGAAAACCCAACACCAGGAGGGGGTCTGGGGGGATTCTCCCCCAGGAGAT